TTTATGTGCCTGTTGGCAGCATTCATAGTTTTAAATAGCTTTTATTGTTTTCTCCCTTTTTACTTTAGAAAATTTTAGAAAGCACAGAGAGGTAAAAAGTAACCACTGTAGTTGACACTTTGGTGTTTGTCTTTCCAGACACATACACACATTCATACACACACGTTTATAAGTGGGTTTTTATTTTTACAAAACCAGAGTCATCATGGTTGTATTTTATAACACGTTTCCCCCACTTAACCTTGTACAAACAGCTTGTCATGGCATCGCACTGAATGCTGTATCTTTCGCCCATTTTTATTTTGAGCTCCCCCTCACTCATTAAGAACCACTTTATAGATTAAGGACATTAGCACAGCATCTGTCTTATGTACCCTCAGATTTTTAGAGTTTGTAATTTACCCAACTCACCGGCCACCCTGAGAACTGCCTCCCTCATGTCTTCACTCTCTTTTAACAGGGCGCCAGAGAAGAAAGTGTTCACCTAGCACGGCATTTTTATAAGGTAAATTGCCAGAGCACAGGGTCAGCAGTGTGGTGTGTGTTTTATAAACAGGATTGTAGTGTCTGGGCCTGTGCATGTGATGGTCCCGTGTCCGTAGTGGTCTCTTGTACCTGTGGATACTGAGTCGGAGTGCTCAGTTTCATAGTCTGCAGAGCAGTGGCTTATGTACTTTTCTGCTCATGCTGTTCTTACCTGTCCAACTTTTGGTGACTCACCCCTAGTATGTGACAATGTGTTTATCAATTATCTGTGAATTTGTTATGAATTCATGTGTACATTTTGAATTGTATACATATATGCACGTATGACTACATCATATATATGAACTTATGTGTTCATGAATTATATATACTTGTACATAGAAAATTACTTTTGAATTATATACACATATTATATGCAGGTAAGAAACCTCATATAGGCTTTAAACATACCCCATTAAGTTCAGTGAGATGTTGTGAAGAACCACCGTGACTTTCAGTGTCTGAGGTTTGTAGATGATTACTTTGAACCATCTCATGGTGATGGTTTTGTTTAGCTCTTAAAATGTACTATATTCTCAGGCTAGGCTCATCATTTGTCAGCAGTAGATGGATTAATCCATATGTCAGACAGTTCTAGCAGTTTTCTGATTTTTTTCACTCCCGCCTCAGATCTCTCCTGGTCCAGTCGGTAATGGTTTCCCCTTGTAACTTCGCAGATAAGGAGATCCTGATAGGAGGAGCGAAGGTGTTGGCACTGCCATTTTCTTGTTGTTCGCCTGCACTTTCTTTATTTGTGTTCTCTTTGATCTGCTGTGAGTTACACACACACACACACACATATATATATATATGCCCTGGAAGCTTTTTCTTTGCAGGAAGCCTTTTAAACCACTGTCCATTCTCGCCAGCGTTTGCTGAGATAAAACCAGGTGTTGTAATCTGGAAAGGCACTTCTCTAGGCTTAGATGACCCCGTGCAGCTGCAACAAAGTGGACATGCCCAGATGAGGGTGACACCACTATTGGGCCGTCACATACTGGAGAGGAGAGCCCCATCTCCCCTTAGACCATCCCAAATCCAGAGGAAAACAGAACCTCAGGTGCATTACTTATCTTTGAACCACGTTCCAGCATCACTGCTCTCAGCTTATTTCCCCCAGAAAGCCTTTGGATTGCAAAACCAGAAGGACATATAGATAGGTAGGCATTTGCCTAGAGGGTTTTTCTTTATCACTAACAAAAGGAGAGCTAAATTTAAATTGCAGCTCTCCCCTCCCAAACCAGAGTTTTCTCTCTTACCCTATAAGGTTTGCATCCTAGGTGTAGTATCTCTGAAGCTTTTGAGTGTTTTCAGGGGTTGTTATTTCAGCGATTCTTGAGTGGTATTTATCTGTAGTTCTGATAACTGAGAAAACATATAAAGGACCTAATCCTTTTCCCACCCTGTGTGTGTGTGTGTGTGTGTGTGTGTGTGTGTGTGTGTGTGTGTGTGTGTGTGTGATTCAGGACTCAGGAGAGAGATAGGACAGTTCTATCACAGTGCATTCAGCTGTGGTCCCATCCAGTAGTGATCACAGTGACCTGACCCTGGGTGCTAGCATTTTCCAGCCCCGACTGGGTGGCACAGTCTGTCCTCAGCCCTTTGTGTGTGTGAACTCATGTCATCGTCATGATGCCTGCACAGATGACCTATCCCAGTCTTGCAGTGAACCGCAGAGAGGCTCTTAGAGGTAAGGTCAGGATTTAGCCACTGGTTTACGTGTCTCAGAGCCAAGTTCTTAACCTACCACAGCCCCAGGGGAACTGCAGAGCTCCAAAGGTGTCCCTCAGATACAAGCTGTATAGTGTTAACCATATTTAATTATATGCTTCCTTTCAGAGGTGCTGACCCCATGGTTCTAACATGGCACCTTAGATTCCCATTTCTCCAACCATTCTCCACAGATAGATGATGTCAAACACTTGAAATATTAACCATTTTTATATTTTCATTATATATGGTGTTATTTTGGTTTTTTTGATTAACTGCCTGGACAGAAGAAATCTAGCTACATATGCTTAAAAAGAGGAGAAAAACATTGAGAGGTGCAACCTGATATTTAGGCTCTGTCTGAGCATGTGTGTTCCTGTTCATGTGTGTATTTCCCTTCCTGGTAATTTACGAGAACTCACTAATAAGAAACAGATGGCCCCAAAGGCAGCAAACTGAAGTTTATAATACTTTGGTATTTATGGAAAGAAATATGCATAATCTTCTCCTGTCTCTTTTCCTTTCTTTTTAGGGAGAAGAAATCTTTTTGGACATGTTTGAAGATGAATACAGGAGCATGACAGTAAGTGAGGCCAGATGTGCTGTGGGCCTGTGAAGCTCACCCTGCCAGACCAACAGAGAACTGCAATGTGGGGCTTTCTGACCGGACGGCAGTGATTGCTGGGGAAATGAATTGAAAACAGTGACTTGTGATCCCCACTGCTGCTGAAATTTCAGATGACATTCACTCCCCCTATTTGGGCTGTGTCATAAGATGGGTCAGAAAGGTTCACTTTGGTATGAGTGGTATTTGATGGAGGACGTATTCCTCGGCGGGTGTGTAAAGCATCTTGTACGTATTAAATCTCTTAACCCCCACTTCAATCCAAGGGGAGTAGCCGCTTTCAATAACTGAGAAACCAAGAGGCAGAGGGGCTGAGCGAGGTGCCACATCTGCCCGGCCAGTGAGGGGCAGAGCCAGGATCGCACAGCAGAGGGGTTCACCTAATTCTCTGCCCTTCTCCGTATGTTAGGCTGCCTCCTCCCCTGCCATGCCACCAGAATGTTCCAGCTGCAGCTTACTCTATCTTACTCATTTATCTCTGCATCCTCAGCACCTGCCCCTTAGTTCGCACTCAATAAATAGATGATAAATGACCTTTTTCATGGACGTCCCTCACCAAAGAGTGAAGTGATTCAGCAAGTTTATAATAAACCAAAGTGTTTCAGGTGTCAAGAAGGAAAAGGCAGGTGGCTTGTGCCCAGTGGCTTCCTGGCTTCCTAGCCCGTCACCAGGTATCTGGACAGCTGGGCCCTCACTACACCTTCTCTCACAGCCCATCTGGGGCCTCCGCAGAGCCTTTTCAAGGGAAGAGTATAAATTGGCATAATTCATCTTCAGAAATGCCCCAGCAGCACCCAGGCCTCTCATGGTGATGCATGGGCTACCTGTGTGCACCTTATACCTATTGGCCACAACCCCCCTGTATTCCCCAGGCCCCCCAGAAGAGCATCTCAGTACTCTCCTCTTTGGACTGTGAATTAGAATGGAGTAGATTCAAAGGTTAGCTAGTTTTATCTTAACCCTGTGACATCCCCTTCCACGATGTAATTCTTGAAGGGTTCATAGGCCACTTGACTATGTGGGAAAACATGGGCCTCTAACTCCCTGCTTAGTTGCTGTTTTTGTTACTGTGCAGCCTTGGGCAGGTTGCTTACGTTCTGACCTTGATTTTTCCATCTATAAAATGGGCTACATGCCACCACATAACTGCCTAGGCTGGATGTGAAATGCCTAATAGATGCCTCTGTAGAGCGTGTGCTTGAGGAATATTTAGTTCCTCCCCCTCCCACCGCAGGGAGGTCCCTGGGTTTTAATCACACATTTACTGTGTGTCCTGCACAATGTCTGGCAGTCTAGAGAAATAAAAAGATGACATACCCCTGGCCCCCATATCAGTCCTTTGCTCAAACTTGGGGAACCCAGCTGCTAAGCTAAGTGAAGCGGGGACTGGCCCTCAAGTGCTGCTCAGAGAAGCCCCCTCCCAGTGCCAGACCTTTACCAGTGACCCTCACTTGTTCCTCTTATCACCTCTTGTTCATTGCAAAAAGCATAATGTGTGTGACCACCTGGTGTTCCTGCCAACAGCAGGCTGGGAGGGGCTTTCTGGAAAGGTGGGAGCATAGAAGAGGGGAGCTGCAAGGGAGTGAGAGGCAGTCTGAGAAGGAAGGTACTTCTGGAAGGCAGACACCAAGGACAGCTGCCCTGGAGGTAAAGGAGTTGGGGATGGTGGACCTCGGGCCTTTGAGGAAAGTGCTTGAGGCGTTCAAAAGGAAAGGCCTCATGCGCTGAGCGGCTCCTCGGCTCCCGGGCCCTCGACAGCTCTGCTCCTGTCTGCCGGGTGGCTCTGGGCATAGTCCCCTCCTGTGAGCTCAGTGTTCTGCTCTGTAACTGGGACAGCACTGGCCCTTGGTACCCAGCAGGAGGTGAGCCTGCAGGCGCCTGGCACTTTGTAGATGCTCAGTAAGTGGCCTTGTTATATTATCCCAGGTAAGATGCTAAGGGGTGAGAAAGGAAGGGGGGTTGTTGGTCACGTGGAAATCATGGGGGTATGGAGCAAGGCAGGCCTGGGTCTGTGTCTTTGTTCTGCCACAGTCTGCTGGGTGGCCTGGCTCCATTCGCTAGCTCTCTCTGGGTCTCTGTTTTCTCATGAGTAGACTGGGAAGCATTTCTTCCTGGTGGAGTTGGGAGACTCTCCATGCAAGGCCGTAGCTCACTGCCTGCCCCGTAGTCAGCTCTCACTGACTGGAAGCTACTACTTCTGCTGTGCTCATAATTCAAAGTGCAAAGAGAAGGAGGCAGGCAGCCATCAGACTCACACACAGGGCCAACCCCCCTAAGGGACCACTGTGAGGGAAACGGCTTCCTGATCTAAGACCCTCTACCTGCCAGCTAGCGGGGACTGAGAGGATGAGAGAACAAAGCTTTTCATGGGGCAGGTGGCACTTCCCAAGAGTGTCTGAGCTGTCACATCAAGTGAACTTTGGACACAAAAAGAAGGCAGGTGTGACAATGAGATATCACCTCACACCAGTGAGGAATCCCATCATCCAAAAGACAAACAACAACAAATGTTGGCGAGGTTGTGGAGAAAGGGGAACCCTCCTACACTGCTGGTGGGAATGTAAATTAGTTCAACCATTGTGGAAAGCAGTATGGAGGTTCCTCAAAAAACTCAAAATAGAAATACCATTTGACCCAGGAATTCCACTCCTAGGAATTTACCCTAAGAATGTAGCAGCCCAGTTTGAAAAAGACAGATGCACCCCTATGTTTATCGCTGCACTATTCACAATAGCCAAGAAATGGAAGCAACCTAAGTGTCCATCAGTAGATGAATGGATAAAGAAGATGTGGTCCATATACACAATGGAATATTACACAGCCATAAGAAAAAAATAGATCCTACTATTTGGAACATGGATGGAGCTAGAGGGTATTATGCTCAGTGAAATAAGCCAGGTGGAGAAAGACGAGTATCAAATGATTTCACTCATCTGTGGAGTATAAGAACAAAGAAAAAACTGAAGAAGCAAAACAGCAGAAAACCCACAGAACCCAAGAATGGACTAAGAGTTACCAAAGGGAAAGGGACTGGGGAGGATGGGTGGGAAGGGAGGGACGGGGAAAAGGGGCATTATGATTAGCACACATAATGTAGTGGGGTGGGGCACGGGGAGGGCTGTACAACACAGAGAAAACAAATAGTGATTCTACTGATTCTACAACATCTTGCTTCACTGATGGACAGTGACTGTAATGGGGTATGTGGGGGGAACTTGGTGATGGGGGGAGTCTAGTAAACATAATGTTCCTCATGTAATTATAGATTAATGATACCAAAATAAAAAATAAAATTAAAAAAAAGAAGGCAGATGTCTCACACATCTCGCCACCCCAGGGCTGCCCCTCTACCATGCGCTGCGTGCTCCTTTACCATGTGCTGATGGGACGCGGGGGGGCCTGGGAACCGCTCCGTGCCTTTCCCCGCTTCAGTGAGGTTTCCTGTGATGTCTCTTGTAGATGAAGCCCATGAACGTGGAGTATCTCATGATGGACGCCTCCATCCTGCTGCCCCCAACAGGCACGCCACTGACAGGCATTGACTTCGTGAAACGGCTGCCATGTGGTGACGTGGAGAAGACCCGGCGGGTGAGTGAGTCCTGGACCTGCCTCTCTAGGGCAGCTGTCCTCCAGGACCACTCCTGGGGTGGGAGAAGAGGGTCTCTGACCAGGTCAAGAGACCACCTTCTAACAGAAGGTCAGGTGGTAGGTAGAAAGCTCCCCCCTCCCACCCCACCACCAGGCCACACTACCCTTTGCTATGTGGAGGGATTGAAATGCTATTGCATCTGGCACCAGATGTCCGTTGCAGGCAGGCCAGCTTCAGTGGTGCAGAGCATGCCCGGACGGACCCCTGAGCTCTGAGAGGAAGCCAGGGGCCAGGGCTTCTGGGAAGAAAGGAGCATGGGCAGTGAGCAGAATAAACGCAGTGCAGGTGAGGCTCATGTGAAATCGTAGCCCAGATGGGCTCTGGACCCCCAGAGATGGTGTGATGTTAAGGTATCTGAGTGATCTTGGGGCAAAGCACACGCAAATGAAATTGTGATTCTCACCAGCCCCGGAGAGAGACACGTGTGAAGAACAGATCAGTTCTCAGAACCTCACTGGAGGGCGCGCCTCTGTTATCAGCACTTTTTTTCTGAAGCAGCCTCGCAAGGCTGTTCATGGTATTTTATCTTCCTCGTAAGATCACGGTTTCTTTCTTAGAAAACACAGTAACCTTTTCCTAGAAAATCGTTCCCTGGAGACATGAATGTTAGTGCATAAGTTAGAGGAATTCACTGCACTCAGCTCCCACTATCAGCCTGCAGCTTCTTCTGAGTTAATCCCAGATGTGACTAGAGCAGCAACAGAGATGTTTTACTTTTGGATTTGGACAAGCAGAAGGGACCTGCTGGATGTGCCTGGGACAAAGCTGGGGGCAGAGGAAGTCAGACGTGTGTTGTGTGGGAAGTCAGTGCACACTCCCTGCTGTCTGCCCACACCCGCAGGCCTCACCGCAGGACCCACCCTGCCGGAGCCAGTGACACCTGCCTTCCTCACGCTCCCAGCCAGCTCTGCAGGCCCGGGGCATCAGCTTTTTTGGGTCCACTGCTTCCAACAAGTCCATGTCGGGTCAGCAACTCCTGCATGATGTGGGTACGCTTAGCCTTAGTCTCTGGGCAGCCTAAGAAGTGCCCTTAGCAAGGTGACAGCAAAGCCACACACCGGACAGGTTGCAGTGTCCTCAGGCGCAGAATGCTGTGAATGCTGAGAGCAGCCACTCTGGGTTGTATGTTGCCTTCTTTTTGGTTCACAGTCCATTGGATTTTCTTAACACTTAAGTGAGCTCTTATTCTTTATTTTAAACTGGATCATTAATATCAGTTCTTTATATGAATTTCCTCACGTTGTTCTACAACCCGTCTTGCTATTAGGCACTATTATTATCCCCATCTTACAAAAGAGGAAACTGGGGCACAAGGAGGTCAAGTGCTGTGCTCAAGGTCACCCAGCTAATAAGTAGCAGAGCCAGAATCAGCCCCAGCAGAGGGGCCTCCAGAGCCTGTAGTCTGACCCACTCTGGCACACTGCTCCCCACTGCTCCCCTCATTGCATTTATTAGCCCTACTTGGTGCTGGACACGAGGGAATAGGCAGCACAGACTCAGTCCTGGAAGAATCAGAGTCTAGAGGGTGGGGGGGCAGAGGCAGCATCAGTTCATGTGGCCGTGACCATTACTGAAGCAACATGGGGCCAGGTCCTAATCCTCCCTGCGGACAGAGGCGGAGCCAGCACCAGAGGGGTGGTCCTTAAGCCGAGACTGCGGGGATGGGCTGGGCAGCTGGTGGCGAGCGAGGCCCAGAGAGATGTGCCACATTCCAGCACTTCTAAGGATGGGACTGTGGATGGGGCCCAGAGTGGGAGAGGCTGCATGGGCAGTGATGAAGCTGGAGTGGCCTTGGAGCCCAGCAAGGACCTTGGCCTTGTTAGCTGATTCTTGACCTTATGCTCTGCCAGCTTGGGGCTGATCTACAGGAGAGAATGGGGGAGCCTAGGGGTGAAGCGTATGGCAGAAGAAGGGTTGCTTGGGCTTTGGGGTTCCCTCTCCCCTCCGAGTAGTTCCACTCTCTCTTCACCTAGAAAGCAGCCTGTGCCTGTCTTGCCAGAATTACCATGAGGACTCAGTGGATGGCAAAACACCAAAGGCCAGGAGCAGCTCTTGATGGTAGGATTCTTGGAATCCACCCTCTGCCCTCACATCTCAGTTGCAGGTCCCCAGGGCTGTGCTGCCCACTTCCTGGGCCCAGATGGGATGCACAGCTCGAACTGCTTTTGTCTGATGAGTCTGTGAAAATAGCCCCCAAGTTTTAGGGTTCAGAGCCAGGGGGAAGGTGGCAGAATAGCACAGAACAGGACTGGCCTCCTCAAAGCAGAAACCATCCACCTTAGAGAAGCTTCTCTCTGTGACTTCAAGAATCAATTTCTGAAGGGCAATTTCAGCCACTCACTTCAACCAGTTCCTGTTGGAGGACAGTTGCCTGGAATCATCCAAAAGCTCAGCTCCTCAGCCCATTTCAGACATCAGAACACAGCAGTGTACTTTAAATTTGAGCTGAAGGAAGTGTATGGTCAGGCAAGCAATTGAAGGCTTATGTGGTTCGTTTCAAGTTCTTTGTTTGTATTCAGAGAACATTCCATTTCATCCTTTGGATTCAAAGGTTTTCTTTTTCTTTTTTCCCCAGCAAGTAGACTTTTCTTTTAGAAGGCTGACTCTTCAGAAATACCACCATTCATTTTCCTTAAGAACTTATCAAAGAAGTCCCCCAAACCCTTGCTCATACATCATTCCTAACTTGTTAAATATTCCTCCGTACATTCCTCAAAGAGCCACTGGGTCTCTCCTGCTTGCCGGCTGCTGAGCCTGAGGGTATGGAAGCGACAGGACAGGTATCCCTGCTTTCTGGGCCTCACATGACATGGAGGGAAACTTTGTTAACAAAGAAGCAAATGAGAAGTGTGATATCAGACTGCAGCAGGGGCTCTGAAGGAAAAAGGGGTGGCACTACTTTGGGTAGTGATCAGGAGAAGCTGCTCTGCTGAGGGGACCTCCGAGCTGTAACCCGAAAAGGGAGAGGAAGCCAGCCATGCAGAGAGTGCCGTAAAGACGGTGCTTTCCAGACAGAAGGAGCAGGGAGCGCAGAGGCCCCCAGGTGCAAAAGGGCAAGGCCTGTCCCAGGAGCAGGATAACTGCAGCCGAGTGAGCGGGGAGAGGAGAAGGGGCGGGCCCGCAAGGTGAGGCCCTGGCAGGCATCTGGCTATGAAGTCCTATTTAACCTCTTGCCTTTGCAGGTTACACTGTTTATTCTTTCATTCGACGTATTTGTTGAGCATTTTCTAGGTGCTGTGCAAGGTTCAGGGATAAACAGTGAATACTGTAAAATGATAACAAAATAGCACGAGTGCCACTGAGCCATGCCAGCTGAGAAGGAAAATCCGCATTGAAATGAAAATCCCCAGAACTACTGGGGTCTGATGAGAGCTTGGAAGCAGAACCAGGGGCTTAGGCTGGCCCCACCCCATGTGTAGGGACAGGTGAGAGAAGCCGCTCTGAAAGAGCACAGGCTTGTGAGTCAGACAAGCCCAGGTTCCAACCCACCTCTAGCTGTGTGACCTCGCGCAAGTTACTTAACCTCCCTGAGTCTCAGATTCCTCATGTGTCCTGCCTCTCAGCTCTTGCCCAAAGTGAATGAGAGAGAGTGACTGAGGTGCTGAGCCCAGTGCCTGGCAGACAGGAAGTACTCAGGAAATGCTGGCTGAGTGGCAGTGGAATACTCTAATATCTTAGGTGGAAGAAAGAATCTTTAATGATCTGAATCTACTGAAGCTTAATGCCAGAGAAAGAGTTCAGGAGAGGGCTTTCTGGTGAATATCAAAATCTGAATTTAAGCCACTAGCCATCTCCATGTGGTAATCTTGGAAGCCATTATGAAATAAATGTGTCTGCATGAGATTTTGTCCGTGCCTTCTGTCCTTTGTTCCCTTATAAAATCACAGTTTTTGTGTTTATCGCTCCTGACCCTGAGGAAACCGGATATTTTGGTTTACTTTTTGGATGTGTATTGCTCACTGAAGAAAATACAGTAACATCTCATTAAGTTTTGAAAGTAGAGGAAAGAACTTCCTGTGATTTCATCACCCTGAACAAGTAACCCTTGGATGTTTTTTGTGTCTCCTCCCTGTCTTTGTTTGCGAACACAGCCTTGCCAGTTTGGGGGGGGAGCGTGCCGTGGTCTCGCTTTCAGCCTGCCTCTTTTCTCTCTCTTTTATAGAGCAAGAAGTTTTTCATGTTGTGACACAGTTTGAATAAGTCTGCTTTCTTAGTGGTGCATGAAAGTGTATCTAATGACTTCTGCTGTAATTGACTCAGGCATTTTCTTGCTGGTAGACATTTTGGTTGCTTCCAGTATTACATTATTTTCAGTGAAACTGTAATGGGCAGCTTCACAAATATAGTGTTTTCTTTCTTTTGGCTTATTTCTTTAGGATAAGTTCCCAGAAGATATTACATTATTTTCAGTGAAACTGTAATGGGCAGCTTCACAAATATAGTGTTTTCTTTCTTTTGGCTTATTTCTTTAGGATAAGTTCCCAGAAGTGGAAAATTCTGGTTCAAAGGGTATGAACATTTTTTGTGTGACTCTACATATTGCCAAATTGCTTTCCCAATAGGCTATGCCCACTTTAAAGCACACCAACGCTTTCTTAAGAAAGACTGCCTTTCACAGCCATTTCCATGGCCTTAGTGGGCTTCTAACCTAAGTGACTGTTGTCTAAACTCAGCATCTTGCCAATATGGCAAGGAGAGGGGGCTCAAACTAAGCGTTTGATCCAGGGCCAGTCACAGGGAAATACATGTCACCTGCAGCCATCTCTTTGCACCTTTGAGGTGGCCCCATGCTCAGGGTGGTGGCTCCCCCATTTCCTGGGCTTGGGGAATGCAGGTGACTTGCCTGCCTTCGGGTTGAGCCCAGGTGTGTCTCACTCTGAAACCATCCTCCTGTCCCGCACATCGGACTCATTCTCCAGGACTCCTGGCCAGAGCTTTCTCCCAAGGGCATTGAAGCAAAGGAGAAGGCTTTGTGTTTGAACTTGGTCAGCTGTCATCCCTCCCCAAATCTAATCTGTTCTTCCAGAGTCAGTCTTCCTGGTATTCTGTGGAAGCATCTAGAAGAATAATAACTCCTTTTTCTTTTTTAGTAAAACTTTTCAGTTTTCATGTTTATTTAGCAAAGTAAAGAAAAGCACCAATAAAAGCCTGGGTCCCAAGCCTTAAATCTTTTGAAGGCAAAGGCATGTGGTTAGCAGAACATAGACTTTGGAGTCTGGTTTAAGTGAGTCACCTTGGGCAGACTGCCTAACATCCCTGGGCTTTGGTTTCCTGTCTGTAAAATGGGAACCATGTAGGGTCATCAAAGACTTAATTGAGATGACACAGTACAGCCCCTGCCAGCACCCATCTTGCCATGGGTGAGCAGAGTGGGGGTGACCATTTGAGGGGGTTTGTAGGATGAATTTGGTGACCCTTATCCTGGTACCTTCCCTTTCTTTTGTGGATTCTCAGAGTTGTGGGGATGATGAGTGAGCCTGCAGAACCTGTGGATGGTCTGTACTAAGCCACATGCTTCTCTTTTTTCATCCCCCAATTAGGGTTCTGCTTGATTTCTTTCTTTTTCCCTCGTCTCCGAGGTCAGGACTGCTTATTTGAGAGTCAAAATGCCAAATAGTTCAAGTGGCCACCGACCCCTTGGACTTTCTGCACTGGGGCTGGCGTGGGTGTTTGAATGTCCTTGTTGCTTGGTGAAGTGACACAAGCATCAGCCATTCCCGGGCTCCACCCACAGCCCCCCAGCTGTGTACACTTAGACTGCCCGGCCCCTCTCCACTCCGGTTCTTCCTGCGTAAAATGTTGACAGTAAGGTGCACACAGTACCCAGCACACAATAGGTACTTAATAAATAAAAGGTGTTTTGATTTTTTTTAATGAAATGATACTTTTTTTTCTTCTGATTGTTGCAGATGTCTTTAGGAAGATTGTACTTTAAAAAAATGATCACGAACAGTCAGCTCAGTGCTAACACCGCTGCTGCCATCACCACTGTCACCACCATCATAAGATAAAAACCAGTCTTTCTCTAGTGCTTGTGGTTGCTGGAGGGGGACACGTGACCTCAGAATAGGTCCAGGGGGTAGGATTGTTCTTCCAGTTTTGTCCATTAGGAGAGTAAGTCATTGGCCCAGGTCTACCACGGGTTCCAGGCCAAGGCAGGAGGAGGGTTTAGACTTTCTTGGTGGTGGGTTCTCTAGGAGCGAGTGCAAACCCAGCTCTTTGCAGACAGAAATTTGTCCCCGCCGCATGCTGCCTTGTTTCAGGAGGCACCTTGTCATATAGAGGACAGCCTGCCTTCTCAGTGGGCCAGGTCTGTAGCCCTCGGAACTGTAAACGAGGAGACCCAAGAGTGGGCTGGGATTCATCTTTGTGTAGCTCACCAGTGGTGACTGTGGTTTGTCCCCATGCCCAGCTGTTGAGTGACTGGAGTCCAGAATGGCCACCTCTTCATAGAGCGCATGCTGGTTGCTTGCCCACCAGCATTATATCAGAACCTCCTAGCAGCCCTGTGAGGTAGGGACTACTGCGTCCATTTCACAGATGAGGAAATTGCAGCTCAGGGAAGTCAGGGCCTTGCCCAGCATGGTGGAGCTGGGAGTCCAGCCCAGACCTTTTATGCCTGGCTCCAGAGCTGTTGCCCTCAGGCAGGCCCATCAACTAGGGGTCAGGGCAAGTGGCTTAGAGGCGGCCTCTCCTGTGGGCTGCCCTCCGCCTCCTAGCCTTTGGTGGGTGGGCAAGTCAGCCCTGAACTGGGACTCAAAGGGGGAGTGCCCGCAGGGCAAGCCGACCCGCAGTGAAGGCTGCTTTCCACACGTGTTTTTCTGGCTTCCAAGGCCTGGGATTCTGCTGCTTTTCTGCTTTCTGGAAATGCCAGATGGCCGCACCGCTTCTGTCCAGAAAGCTGACTGGGTTGGAATAAAGGGCACTCGGCACTGAGGCATTGCTCGCCATTCAGGTGCTAGGTCCTCTGCCCCATCTTCCAGGGGAAGATGAAGGGGCTGCCCAGGGAGGGGCAAGGGCAGGGTCTTATTCAGGCAGGGCTAGGTGGCGCCGAACCCCACAAGTTCTCACCCTCTTCTGTCTTCCCACCCACACTCGGTAGGTGGAACCTTGAAACCTTTTCACTCATGACCTGGGTTTCCAGATTCTGTGCTGGTTTAGTAGGAGGAGGCCTGGTGCCAGCCCTGCCTAGAGCCTGAGGGTTGGGCTGGTTACGGCACCTCCTTGGGTCTCAGGGCCTTGTCTGTGAAGTGCGGCTGCCTGCTGAACAGGGGTGTCATGAAGGTCACATCACACTAGGGGACAGGTCCTGACAAATGACAGGTGCTCACTTGAGGCAAAGTGGCCCAAACCTGAACCCATGGATAACTGAAAATAGGCCATGCCCTTTTATTATTACTATTATTATTTTTAGTCATGATCTGAAAGCACCCAGGGCCATGATATGGAGAGAGGTGGGCTTTATTTTGCTTTGTTTTGTTTTGTTTTAATCAAGAGTCCTTGAGTGGTTTCTCCATACAGAGCATCTCACCAAAGTGACTGCAGTTTCCCTCTTCTCTGCTCTCTGAACTGTTCGTGCAGGCCATCCGGGTGTTCTTCATGCTCCGTTCCCTGTCGCTGCAACTACAAGGAGAGCCTGAGACCCAGCTGCCACTGACGCGGGAGGAGGACTTGATCAAAACTGATGACGTCCTAGATCTGAGTGAGTGGGCCGTCCTGTCACGGCAGGGGTGGGGGGACACTGCCATGCTGACTGATGTGTCACCAGGAGGGTCTGTGTGCAACCTGCATTTTATACTGCAACTGATCAGTGACCATAAGCTTACAGAGCATGCATGTCCCCCAAAACTTTTAAAGAAAGGTCCCTAGGTTCTGGACACCTTGAAGTCAGTTTGCAGGTTCTATTTTCTGGAGCCCAGGTACAGCTGTGCAGGTGGTTTGCTGACAGGTCTGTGCAAGGTGATTGAGAAAGATCTCAAGCAGGGGTGGCAGGGCTCCAGGCTCCCTGCCCTCCATGTAGTCATAGCTGCACCAGTTTGATTTGTTTGGAGGATTAAGGATTTTCTCTGTTCTTCTAATGATTAAAGGATTCTGCTGCTACAAAAAAGAAAGCTTTCAAAAATGCAAATCACCAGCATTTTGGTAAAGATGAAGTTTTGGAGGCTGGAGAACCATGTGCTCAGGCAGCAGTTCTGGCTACTTATTTAACCATGAAGTACTTCAGTGTTCTTCTCTGTAGTACAAAGCTGAGATTTAAAGGAGACAACAGATATAAAGCCTGGTCGCGTTCTTGTAACCCTTTTCATATCTGCATTGCTGTCTCTCTCCTCCATTTGCTATGGAGCAAGTGTACACTGATGGACGAGATGGTTTTCTGTTTCCTACAGGCATTGTGATGTATTAGGACTCTTTGGTTATAAGAGAGGAAAACCCAACTTAGGCTGGCATAAGAAAAAAGAAAGGGGAATTGGCTGATATAACTGGGAAGTACAGGAATAGTTCTGTCTTCAGGCATGGCTAGATCTAGGTACTCAATCAGTGTCATCAGTAAGCTGCCACCCTCTATATCTCAGCTTTGCTTTCCTCTGTTCTGGCTTCATCCTCAAAAGGTCGCTTACCAACCAGTGACAAGGCAGCCATCAGCAACTCTGAACCAGCCAAGCAGCCCTAATAGAAACAGAGCTCCTCTTCCCTTATAAATTTTTAGAGAAGTCCAAAGCAGGGCTGTCATTGGCCTGATGTGGGTCATATGACCATCCTCGAACCAGTCAGTGTCAGAGGAATGTTTTTCACTGATTGGCTAGGCTGAAGTCACATGCTCAATCTGGAGCTGGGAAATAGGTCCCATCCCTTTTGAACCACATCACCTGAGAGGCAGGAAAGGAGAAGCTTTCAAAAGAAACTTACAAAGATGAGCTGGAAGCTGGGCAGGCAGAAACAGCAGACAGCCACTCTGTATGGTGGGAAGGAGGTCCTTGTTTTAAATTAGCTTTATTGAAATATAGTCTACATCCAATAAAATTCATCAAGCTTTACTGTACAATCATGAGTTTTGACAAAGCCATTCAGTCATGTGACTGACGATTGTGATATAGACCGTCTGGCTTTTGAGCCAGACATACCCTGCCCTGCTCTGTATTCCTTGAGCAAATGATTAAAACTCACAGGTTCTGTTTCCTCACTTGTGCAATAGGGATTATCTTTGCTATTTTGTGGGGTTGTTTTGAGGACGTGAGTGAAATACAGTCTGAAATGCAATGTGACCAAGTGTGGTTCCTAGGCTACACCTGTGCTCAGGAAACTGTGGGCACTGTCACCCTAATTAAATGACTTGATGCATACGAAGAGCAGAGCCTGCTGCCTGCCCCACAGATTCTCAGTACGGGCATACCTTGTTTGATTGTGCTTCACTTCATCGCACTTCACAGGCCTTGCATTTTTTTTACAAATAGAAGGTTGTACCAACCCTGCATCGAGCAAGTCTGTAGGTGCCATTTTTCCAACAGCATTTGCTCACTTTGTGTCTCTCTGTCACATTTTGGTAATTCTTTTGATATTTCAAACTTTTTCATTATTACATTTGTTATGGTGACCTGTGATCAGTGATTATGATTCGCTGAAAGCTCAGATGATGATTAGCATTTTTTAGCAATAAAACACTGGTATGTACATTTTTTTTTAGACATAATTCTATTGCCTATTTAACAGACTACAGTATAGTGTAAATGTAACTTTTAGAGGCACTGGGAGACCAAAACACCCATTTGACTCACTCTATTGCAATTGCTGCTTTATTGCAGTACCTGCAGCAGGGCCCCACAGTATCTCCAAAGTATGCCTGTAAATGGTTACTGTGGGTTTTACTTGGTTGCCCCACTTCTTTTTCTTGCCTTATTCTAGTTTATGCTCCTTTTTCCTTCTCTCTTGGAAGAACAAGGAAGCTATGTCCCCTCTGTGTTCTGTGACCATGTCCTTCGACACTTTTCCCCTTGAGAAACGGCCACAGGGATTTCTGTAAGGGTTTAAATTGATTGAGTTGGCTGGAGAAGACCATAAACCAGTCTTTCTATGATTTGATTCAGGGAAAGAGAGGGAAACAGCTTGCTTTAAAGGGGTCCACTCCATCAGGGCAGCAAGAATGTTTGCATCCGTGAAATGGAATTAAATTTTATGATGGGAATTCACATCCTTTCCCTCTTCCCTCTAGGAATGGCCTGCTGAAATAAAGGTTAAAAGTACTTCACTTACCAATTTTAATTGATTAGATTGCTAGTTGAGATCACTTAAATGAGCCTTTTGGGTAGTTGGCCATTAAGAAAGTAATGGCTGGCTGCTTTTATCCAGCCTGATTGCAAAATATGTCTTATGCTACAGAGGGCACCATCCAGAAAATACTGGGAATTATGGGTCTTATGAGCACATGGTACTAGAATAAGATATATATGTGTTGTTGGTTGATTTTTTTTTTCTTAAATGCTAGAGCTTGTCACTTTCCAGTGGGGAAAAATTAACAAAATGCATTCTTTATATACAACACGTAGGAAGCCTCATAATGTAAGTGAAGGCATCCATACTTGCTGAACGATTGAAAGCAAGGCTTCTTAGGAGCACAGTGCTCTGTCTCCCTAACGAGCCAGAGGACGCTGACTCCGGGGGAAATGTTTGGGTCGGTCAACTTTTATCTAAGGTCATATGGTCTGACAGCGTAAAGGAATGCCAACTCCCGCACAGCAGGAAGAGGTGACAAAGTGTATTTGCTAAACTTGTCACACTTTGATAAGAAACCACAACGTAAGAGTACTTAGAAGCCTTCTCCCTTGTCCATTGACCAGCAGCAGGCCTCTGGGCCAGGTGTAGCACGTGAGCTGTGGCAGGGTGGCTTCTGACAAAGAACGTCAGAGATGCCCTCACTCCTCATGGACGAAGTGAACTGTCTGTGCTTAAAGCCTGTTTTGTTTTCTATGGAGAGGAGTTTGGTATGGGGCAGAGGTCGTGAACTGGCAGCCATGAAGGGAGGAAGGAAAAAAGGTAGGAAGGAGGGGGTTGGAGGGGAGACTAGGCTAGATAAAATGGGTTGGGTTTTTAGAGAGAATAGCACCGTGAATCTCCATGTATCCGGCCTTCAGCTTCAATGGTTAATGACCCTTGTGATCTCATTTCATCTGCCACACCATTCCTCTTTCTAAAACATGCCCCCATGCCTGTGTGTGAAGGCGCATGGAAGACATCATATCATTGCATCTGTAAATACATCTCTCTCACAGATAAGGACTTTGGGTCTTAGTTGTACTGGTTGCCACCATCACAAACTGTGAGCTTCCTCAGCACTCCCCTCCCCCCCAACATGCTGCCCTGGGTGGGGCTGAGGGAAGGAGAGGCAGAGGGCAGCCCCCAGGGATGGGGCCCTGTGCTCTTGTGTCTACCGCCAACCTGGCCTTTGAGTTTGTAGCCCTTAGTGTAGTTGAAATAGTCAGCTTTGTGACCTTGCTCAGGGTGTTAATGCCTGTGAGGCTCAGAAATGGTTCTGAGACTTTGCCAGGAGAGCTGTTGAAAATCAAATGAGATCATGTTCATAAAGCACACAGCATCACCCTTAGTACATAGTAGGTGCTCAGTGGATGAGAGCTGGCTGTCCCTGTGGCGGCCTCTGAATGAGCAAGACAGAACTCATACTGTGGGGCTCCTAGGGCTGGCATCTTCTGCTTTGACAACATTTTGAGGAACATATCCTGAAATACTTAAGCCAGTTCATCACTTATATGACCGCACTGTTTTGAGGAATAAGAAAGACAACTGTGGCTGCTTGGGCCCAGATGAAGGGCACTCCCATCCAGGTGGGGCACCCCTGCACATTCCCCAAGGGGCCTGCCAGCTGACAGTCCCCAGATGTGCTCTGAGGAGAGGCCAGGTTCCTGTCTGGATTGGCATTAGGCCTTCTGAAAGTAGTCTTGCCTGTTTCTAGATAACACGGACAGTCATGGGAGACGGAAATTCCCCTACTATCCAGATACCTTAAGGAGACACAGGCAACCAGACAGCCTCAGGAAACTCCTGGTTTCCTTCCTAGTCTTATCCACATGGGCACTTGGCATTACATAGTTGAGCCTTACCTTGTGCTACCTGCCCCTCATCTTGGGTTCTGATTTTTTAAACCGTTCATGGAACCATTCAGTGAAATCCATCTATTCATTCAACTCTTTATTGAGCACCTGCTATATGCCAGGCACAGCACTGGGAGCTGGGGTGTGATAGTGAGCCAAAGCCAAACTTGGTCTCTGCTCCTGTGATGCTCCCAGATGGGCAGGGGGGGCCAGAGGAGAACCGCACACTGATAAATGCAGGTCCCTGGTTGGTCGAGGTGGCTCCATAGAGGGGATAAACAGGCTCCTGTGCAAGAGAATAACTGGCAGAAAAGACCTTAGAGGCAGGCCGGGGAAGGCCTCTCCAGAGAGGTGCCAGGCAAGAGGGGCTGGAAGATTCCATGAGAAGATCCAAAAATGAGGCCCACCAGCGAGAGAGAGCGGCAGAGGTGAGGCCACAAGGTGGGAGAGAGCTTGGCATGTCCCACGATCCTGAAGAAGGCCGGTGTGGCCGGCAGGTAAGGAGCAGTGGGGAGAGGGACTGACATGAACCAGATCTCAATTCCAGTGCCCTGAGAGGCCGTCAGCCGGATTCCGCAAGGACCTCTGTCCTGCGAGCGTA